CTTGTGGTGGTGGTGCTGGTGCTGCTGCTTGTGGTGCTGCTGTTTGTGGTGCTGCTGTTACTGCTGCTTGTGGTGGTGCTATTGCTGCTTGTGGTGGTGGTGCTGCTGCTGCTGCTGCTTGTGGTGGTGGTGGTGGTGCTGCTGGTGGTGGTGGTGCTGCTGCTGCTGTTTGTGATGCTGCTGTTACTACTGCTTGTGGTGGTGCTGCTGCTGCTGTTACTACTGCTGCTTGTGGTGGTGGTGCTGCTGCTGCTGCTACTACTGCTGCTTGTGGTGGTGGTGATGCTGCTGTTACTACTGCTGCTTGTGGTGGTGGTGGTGGTGGTGGTGGTGCTGCTGCTACTACTGCTGCTTGTGGTGGTGGTGGTGCTGCTGCTGCTGTTACTACTGCTTGTGGTGGTGGTGGTGCTGCTACTGCTTGTGGTGGTGCCACCATTATCACTTCTGCTACTTTTGTATCTACTACAACTACTGTTCCCGTCAGGCTTAACGGTCTATCTTTGTGTCGTCAAGAAAGTTGTTCATATGATTTACTCCCTCACCCAAGAGTCACTTACGTAAACAGCGACCAACAAGGGACAACACTGAACCTTGTGGGACGCCACTTGTTCTTGATTTCCATTTTGATTTTTCCACTCTTCATGCGCACACTTTACCTAAGGGTCCGTCATGACTCAATGCAAGAAAGAATAACTCCCACATTACCATGATCCGCCGCTTTCTTACCAGTCCCTTAGTGGTACTTTAATCAGCCCACTGTGAAGCAGTATTCTGGTTATATTCAACGTGACTTTCAACTGGATTTGATATTAATGGTGACCCTTGCGAGTTTAGCGCTTAGTTTTCATTGTAATAATTTATATTAGCTGTTTTAACTTTTGAGGTTTAAATAAGATATTACAAGGACCCCAATGGAAATAAATTACTGTGGCTTAATAAAGATTTCAATATTTTACCCACTAAGAGAAAACACTAAGTGTCCGGGGCCCAAGACTGTTCAACAGCCTCCCATCAAGCATTAGGGGAATTGCCAATAAACCCCTGGCTGCCTTCAAGAGAGAGCTGGACAGATACCTAAAGTCAGTGCCGGATCAGCCGGGCTGTGGCTCGTACGTCGGACTGCGTGCGGCCAGCAGTAACAGCCTAGTTGATCAGGCCCTGATCCATCGGGAGGCCTGGTCATGGACCGGGCCGCGGGGGCGTTGATCCCCGGAATAACCTCCAGGTAACCTCCAGGTAACTGTCGAGGTCAGGCAGATACGGATGTAATTCGTACAAACTACCTTCTTATTGTAAATGGGTTTTACGTTGGCTAGTTCCCACATCGGCGGCACCATACCAATTTGCTATAATTTATTAGAGATTAATGGCTTACAAAGTTATGTTTTTATGCATTCTTTAAACGTTAAACAAAAGAAAGATTTCTACTCTTTCCAAGTGGCAGCGCCTGGCTCATTCCCACCAATGTTACGAGATGGGTCAGAGGCGACAAGGTCACCCTCGAGTCGTCTGCTATGTCTTGTGTATTCTTCGTCGTGATCACGAGCCTGGACTGACCCCACCGTCAAGAATCCGGTCCGGAGCCGGTCGGGCGGGGGCGTCCGGATACTAAACTCCGTAAAAGCCTACTACATAGTCGGGCACCAAGTATATAACATACAAATAAAGCACGGAGGGGGAATCGTTCCAGCCGGCCACGGAGTCATAAAGACGGCAGACGGCCGCTAAAATAAATCGTTAGCGGTGGGTCGAGGCAGATCCCGCCCAGATATCACGGTGGCTCAACTCCCACTATTTATTGCCTATATTTTGATGGCTCCTCATAAATTCAAGTGCATTTTACAGCTCTGTTGCTTCCCTGCCGCTGCTCTCCATGACGACCTCGGTTGGGACTCCAGCCCAGCACGGTGAAGCCGTCAGGTCTTCGACATTAACAAAACGGTTACGCTGTTTCCCTAGCAACAGCAACACTACCACCACCCGCAGCCTTAGCAGCCTTAGCAGCAGCAGCAGCCTTAGCAGCAGCAACACTACCACCACCCGCAGCCTTAGCAGCAGCAACACTACCACCACCCGCAGCCTTAGCAGCAGCAGCAGCAGCCTTAGCAGCAGCAACACTACCACCACCCGCAGCCTTAGCAGCAGCCTTAGCAGCAGCAGCACCACCACCACCACTCACAGCCTTAGCTGGAACAGTAACAGCACCAGAAGTAGCACCACCACCACTCGCAGCAGGTAGCCTTAGCAGAAGCAGCAACAACACCCACTGCAACAAATGTCTTCAGTAGGCTCCTGCTAATGTGCCTTACACACGGCCAGCAGTAACAGCCTCGTTGATCAGGCCCTGATCCACCCGGAGGCCTGGTCATGTACGGGGCCCCGGGGGCGTTGACCCCCGGAATGCCTTCCAGGTAGACCTATTCGTGGCGAAACGTTTCCTAGAATAAATGTCCTGAACACTTCACAAGTCTCTTTCCACAGACCTATCCGTCTCCCATATATTCACCTCTGCTGACCTACACCTGTTGCTGACCCCACACCTGTCTCTCGTCACCTATCCCACGCCTCCACCTACAACCAGTACAACACTACCTAGGCAAGGCAATATCTTAACGCAAAACATTAATTATTACAAATGCAAAAAAAAAGACAAAAAAAAGAGGTCGTGTTGGTCGTGTTGTCGTCATCTATCACGAAATGAAAGCTCATTTAGGGAGGCCACGGCCACAATCGCGCCGGCTCGAGCATCCATCATTATCCTTACATGCTCGCCTGATGCCCCCTCCTCCCTCCCTCCCTCCCTCCTCCATCCTAAACTCTGGGGACCTATCCACCTTGCCCCGACTTTTGAATACCCTTAGCCACTTATACCAAGTGATCTGGCTGATTTGAAACATTGAGAAGGTAGCGATCCGGTTTCCCCTTGACCTCCACATTGGTTCCAGCAACATTTCTGATATCTGCTGCTAGCAGGTTGAATAGCCTAACCTGACGTATGTTCATACAGTGGTGAACGTTTCTACCGTTCTTCTTTGTGCTCGACTGATGAAGCTACTGGCTGGCGAAAAGTTTCCTCAGTAAAGATTCTCAAATGATGCACAACTCTTCAGTTTTCTAAGCCATTTATCACAGAGCTCTCTTATGCCCGTGGTATGATACATAGAACTGAGCTTCTTACCTCTCTAAGGCTAGATTTTACTCCATGACCACACTCGTCAAATACCTTAGTGAAGTCCGTGTAGCTCACGTCTCTATCGTGGAATTATTTCAGTCTGTACGTGTGACAAGTATGATAATTTCCCTATCCTAAACCCACGATGACCTAGGTTGCAGAGGCCAGGTTTTACCACTTTTGTAAGTACCTGGATGAGGTTCGCTGGTACTCCCGGGTCTTATCCAGTTAGTGACTCGGCGTCTGCGACTTCTCCTGGATGGAAGCTCTTTCACCAAACTATGTTGAGTGATAGTAATTTGTTGCAAACGACGAGTTCCGCGAGTCTGGTCCCGGAGCTGCATCTGGGGGACATGTCTGTTTCCCTTCTTAATTCTTGACAGCCCGCTCTTGCGTCACAGTCGTGGGAAAAAACTTTCCGGATCTTTCACTTTGTTTAGAAACAAAACCTGGTGAGGGGCTCTTGATCTGGAGAACTGGATCTGTGTTCCAGCTCCCTAAATTGAACCTGAATGCTTTCCACCCCCACCCCACAGGCGCTGCAATCCCAACGGGTTTAGCGTCCCCATGATAATAATTAGAAACTAAACACTAACTCGTACTGATTTTTTCACTTGTTAATAATGGTAGAATTACCGACAAAAAGTTAGGTAAATGGGCACAGACGAGCCACCGTTCACAACAGGGGCTGCCGTTCACAACAGGGGCTGCCGTTCACATTGATACTGAACGTGGGTGGCTCTGACAAGAGGTCCGCGAGGAAGGTGGCACAGCTTCGGGACAAGGCACTGCTGTAGCGCCCCTCGCATACGGCTGTCACTCCCGTAGGTTGGTACAGGAATGTCGACTGTTGCGTGGGCATCCCTCCTTCCCCACTACTCCTCCATCATGGCCGCTGTCGGTTCATCATTTACATACGTAATCACGGAGCAACGAGTAATTGTGATATTGCTGAATGTGGCCGTGCAAGTCAGTCTGCACAACCATCACGCTTTTCAGCAGGCTACCAACCTCAATAGATTTGAAGATCCTTGCACAAATAACCCGCATATATGAGAAACTTATTGACGATGTTTCGGTCCGACTTGGGCCATTATCTTGTCACTAATTAATGGTCAAAGTCGGACCGACACGTCGTCGTAAGTTAGGTTTCCTTCTGTGTGTTGGTTGTGTGTTGCAGTTACCGTGTTGTGTCTGTGCTTTTGAAGATGCTTGTTGCTTTCCAGTGTTGGTGGGTGTGTCTAGTAGTGGTAGTGTCCAGTGGTGGTAGTGTCCGGTCAAAACTGGCATGACTATCACGTTTTTCAGACGTCCGTCCACACGGGCGGCGTCACCTCCACACGGGGGGCGGCGTCACCTCCAAGGGGGGAGGTATCACTGGTAATTTGTTGTGATGTGGATGTATCCATTGTGAGGGTCGTCACTGTCAGTAATAATGACAAACGACCTTACCTCCCTCCGTGCCTTCACCATCCCCGCCCCTCACCTACTAGCAGTGCTCAGCACCCCTCACCTGCTAGCAGTGCTCAGCACCCTTCACTTACTAGCAATGAGGCTTCTCGTGGCGAAACGTTTCCTTTAATAATATCATGAAGTGTTTGTATACCACTGTTCACAAGACAAGAGCACAAAAACTCACCCAACAAGTATAAACACTCACCCAACAAGTATAAACACTCACCCAGCAAGTATAAACACTCACCCAACAAGTATAAACACTCACCCAACAAGTATAAACACTCACCCAACAAGTATAAACACTCACCCAACAAGTATAAACACTCACCCAACAAGTATAAACACTCACCCAACAAGTATAAACACTCACCCAACAAGTAGTCTTGAGGCGCTAGAGGATGACTGCTACCATTACCGTTGATCTGCGGCCGAGGCACTAAACTGAGTGGATTCTGTAGGCTCTGCAGGTTCTGCAGGGACTGTAGGTTTTGCAGGGGCAGGAGGGGTGGCTGGACGGCATCACCGTAAGTACCGTAGGAGGAACGACGACCCTCCCTCCGGTTCCCATCTATGGCACTCTGCAGCTCGGCGGGGTTTGATAATTTCATCTTCTCGCACTCTAGTGGGTACAGATATTTCATATATCTGTGGGAAGAAGAGAGTACATGTTAGCAGCGCCCTGAGTAAAAGTATTTCATGCGCCTGTAGGAAGAAGAGAGTACATATTAGCAGCGTCTTGAGTGTCAGTAGTGTTACTGTGTACTTGTGTAGATAATCGCAGCTACTTTATATAGATAGATTCCCTTCTTGCTGTGACGTCACGAGTCCCACAAGTACATTGTATATAGGGAGGGGGAGATACCTCAACAGAGTAACGTCAGCAGTGAGTGCAAGACTGACGGATGTCAACAGTCTTCAGGGAGTACACGAATGATATACAATACCGACAAAATGAAGAATTACACATATGTTACACATGTGTAACATGTGTAACATATGGACATCTTTATTTGCGGAAATGCTGTATGACCCTTACGGGTTTAGCGCTACGTTATGATTTTAATATTTGTAAATGTTTCGCTATCCAGTCAATTCAAATTCAAGGATAGTATGCAAAGACTATATACAAAAGACGAGGTAATCAGTCCCTCAGCCTTGGAGTTAGTGGTGAGTTGATAACCAGGAGCTGTGATTCGACCCCTGCAACCACAACTAGGCGAGTGCGTACACACACACACACACACACACACACACACACACACACACACACACACACACACACACACACACACACACACCTAGTAGCGATCAGTGAAGAGGCGGGGCCAGGAGCTCGGACTCGACCCCCGCAACCTCAACTAGGTGAGTACACACACACACACACACACAATCTCAAGAGGCGATACAGATGGAACCTGAAGGCCAGGAATCGGGAAAACCCGGCAGGGCCAGGAGCTATAAACCGACCCCTTCAAAAACATCAAGGTGACCACACGAAACAAAAAAAAAAATCGTGTGAGCAGCTTCAAGTCTGATATTACCAAAACATTTCGTTCACCTGCCGAGTGTCCGCTACCAGGAGTGTGTCAACACGAGGGACTCCTGATGCAACAATAAGACATTGCATGCCCAGCTGGTAATTAAAGTTGCAATTGCAGTGTGATAGAGTGCCGACCTGAATGTTAAACTTGCTAGAATTCCAGTGTTTGCAACTGTAAACATATTTCAACACCGCTGCACAGCCTACTGGCCTATCTCAGCACTTGTGGTAGGCTGTACATCACCAGTGTGTAGACAGTCACTATCACTTAGCCTGCACCATCACCTTCATCACTATCACCATTAACACGTTCATTTTTTATCACGGTAAAAGCAGCACCACCACTGACTGTAGAGCACCACCACTGGTTGAGAGGCACCACCTCTGTAGAGCATCACCACTGAATGTAGAGTACCATCACTGACTGTAGAGCAGCACCACCACTGACTGTAGAGCACCACCACTGACTGTAGAGCACCACCATTGGTTGAGAGGCACCACCTCTGTAGAGCATCACCACCGAATGTAGAGCACCACCACTGCATCTTACTCTACCAGTGTGTTCACAGACCTTATGGCGTCCCTACACAAAGCCGGTATTACCGTCTCAAGCCCCTGGCTTCCCAGGCAGCACAGCAACAACGACCTTACGACGCCCTGACACAAGGCTCTTAATTCAAGACTCCAGCCTCATTTGCATATACGCTGCCGGGTCACTACCTAATATGTGTCTTGATTTACTTTAATGTGTCTCTATTACCAGGGACCCGGTCCTCTGTGGTAGGGGAGGGGTGAAGGAGAAGAGGGGTGGTGGAGAGGCGGTGGTGGAGAGGTGGGGGAAGGGGAAATGGTGATGAAGCAGGGAAGGTAGAGGGAGGAGGGGAGAATCTGGACCAAGGAGGGGAGAATCTGGACCAGGGAGGAGAGAACCTGGACCAGGGAGGAGAGAATCTGGACCAGGGAGGAGAGAATCTGGACCAGGGAAGGGAGAATCTGCACCAGGGAAGGGAGAACCTGGACCAGGGAAGGGAGAACCTGGACCAGGGAAGGGAGAACCTGGACCAGGGAAGGGAGAACCTGAACCAGGGAAGGGAGAACCTGGACCAGGGGAAGGACAACCTGAACCAGGTGGACCAGGGAAGGGAGAACCTGGACCCATGACACTTACGAATTACCAGTGATACCTTCTGTCTGCCTTAGAGAATTTCCCTCCTATCTGCCGATGTCTTGCAACATTGCATAGCTCCTGACGACACACAAGTGTGTGAAAGATCTAGAGCTAAGGATTTCTCTCCCTATGTGGCTTGTTCTGCATTGGTAAGATCTCCTGTTTGCAATTGTATTGCAATATAAGGTAAATATGGAATATTAACACTGACACACAAAGGCAAGCTGGTGTGTTGCTTGTGCCGTGCCTTATATATGGTAATAATTTTATAGTGCCACAATGCTGTAGTGTGGCACTGAAGGCATTGCACGTAGCACTATACACTGCAGGCACTACACCTGGCACTGTACACTGCAGGCACTACACCTGGCACCATACACTGGAGGCACTAGACCTGGCACCATACACTGCAGGTACTACACCTGGCACCATGCACTGCACCTGGCACCATACATTGGAGGCACTAGACCTGGCACCATACACTGCAGACATTACACCTGGCACCATACACTGGAGGCACTGCACCTGGCACCATACACTGGAAGCACTACACCTGGCACCATACACTGGAAGCACTACACCTGGCACCATACACTGGAGGTGCCATACTCTTAACAGTGCCAACTATCACATCACTACATCTATCATAACTATCAAGGCTCCTAAATACCCTTACATACCAAGATCATCACACATCCTCCTCCCGCTTAACAAAATCCCAAGCGTTTCAAAACTCGGTTACAAAACACTGTTTTCCAGTATAATATGGCACCAATTTATTTTTAGTGCGGCCAGCAATAACAGACTGGTTGATCAGGCCCTGATCCACAGGGAGGCCTGGTCAAGAACTGGGCCGCGGGGGGAGGGGAGTGTTGGCCCCTTGGAACGACCTCCAGGTAGACAAAATTTCCGACACTCACGCACACCAGGAAGAAAATCTTAAGTGAATCTACGACTTTTCTTAAGAGTTAAAACTCTCATATCATAACATCCAAAACTTTTCCGAAACCAAACTGATGCTCTTTTGTCTTAATAATCCTTCATTTGTTCCATTTTGTATCAGTTTTAAAACCTTGTAACGGTTGTGATGTACCTTTACCTCTGATGAGTTTCGAGAGTTTTTCTTCTCCCGGAGCCCAGCCATGTGCCAGGCTCGTCTGGTGCTAGCCTGGTCAACCAGGCTGCTGTGCTATTGGTGTGCAGGTATTTAGATTCAGCTGCACCTTCATGAAGGAGAGGGCAGTGATGAATATGTTGATGCTGCTGTTGGGTTATGGATTGATGTATAATGTATGAATTAATGAATATACTCAGGAAGACTGAGAGGCAATTATGGGCATATCTGTATGCTTCTGCTGGCGTCCTCTCATACCCAAGTGCTGGTGCAGGCAGCTAATCATACTCGATATGAGGCCTGGTCTCAGACCGGGCCGCTGGGGCACTGACCGGAACACCCTCCAGATGGATAATGGAGGTACAGTACAGCCACTGAGGCCAAGGTAAGACTGGAAAAAGATAGTATTAAGTCAGGAATTCACCTTGAGAATGAAGGATGGGGGAAGCTGCCATCCTGCCGGTGAAGAGCTCTACATGCAAGGAACTGGAGTTGATCCTCGTCTTCCTCTGATTATACCCGATTACCTCCCATTCCCGAGCGCTATGTGACCCTTACCATCAATATTTATAGATGTAGCACCACCAGAACCATGATACCAGCACCACTAACACTAGCACCACCACCACTAAAATTAGCACCAGCAAACACCACTAAAATTAGTACCAGCACCACCAACACTAGCACCTGCACCACTAACATTAGCACAAACACCAGCACCACCACACCTCGCACCTGCACCACTAACATTAGCACAAACACCAGCACCACCACACCTCGCACCTGCACCACTAACATTAGCACAAACACCAGCACCACCACACCTCGCACCTGCACCACTAACATTAGCACAAACACCAGCACCACCAACACTAGCACCTGCACCACTAACATTAGCACAAACACCAGCACCACCACACCTCGCACCTGCACCACTAACATTAGCACAAACACCAGCACCACCACACCTCGCACCTGCACCACTAACATTAGCACAAACACCAGCACCACCACACCTCGCACCTGCACCACTAACATTAGCACAAACACCAGCACCACCACACCTCGCACCTGCACCACTAACATTAGCACAAACACCAGCACCACCAACACTAGCACCTGCACCACTAATAATTAGCACAAACACCAGCACCACCAACACTAGCACCTGCACCACTAACATTAGCACAAACACCAGCACCACCACACCTCGCACCTGCACCACTAACATTAGCACAAACACCAGCACCACCAACACTAGCACCTGCACCACTAACATTAGCACAAACACCAGCACCACCAACACTAGCACCTGCACCACTAACATTAGCACAAACACCAGCACCACCACACCTCGCACCTGCACCACTAACATTAGCACAAACACCAGTACCACCAACACTAGCACCACCACCACTAACATTAGCACAAACACCAGCACCACCAACACTAGCACCTGCACCACTAACATTAGCACAAACACCAGCACCACCACACCTCGCACCTGCACCACTAACATTAGCACAAACACCAGCACCAACACTAGCACCTGCACCACTAACATTAGCACAAACACCAGCACCACCACACCTCGCACCTGCACCACTAACATTAGCACAAACACCAGCACCACCAACACTAGCACCTGCACCACTAACATTAGCACAAACACCAGCACCACCAACACTAGCACCACTAACATTAGCACAAACACCAGCACCACCAACACTAGCACCTGCACCACTAACATTAGCACAAACACCAGCACCAACACTAGCACCTGCACCACTAACATTAGCACAAACACCAGCACCACCACACCT